AAGAGAGAGACAGAGAGAGAGAGAGAGAGAGAGAGAGAGAGAGAAAACCCTGTAGCAAAAACCTCAGAAAGAAAGAAAGAAAGAAAGAAAGAAAATTGGGGTGGGGGGAATTCTGGAAAAGCTACCAGAAGAACTGATTTTGCTTTTCCTAAAATCTGGTTTTTGGGACCAGCAGTTAGCATAATGGCTATGTCGCTGGACTCCCATGTAGTCGACCGTGGTTCAAGTCCCGGACCCGGTGGCTTAAAACTCACGCTGGGCACATGTGCGTGCGTGCCGAAGATCCCAAGAGGAGAATGGAGAAGGGATTGCGGCGTGTCCATCCCCCCTGGGGGGTGATTTCTCGCTTTCTGTCTCTCTGTCTCTGTCTGTCTGTCTGGCGAGCACACGCGCCCTATGGCAAAAAACCTCTCCAAAAAAAAAAAAATCTGTTTTTTGATCTGAACAGGTTCCTCTCCAATACCCTCCACCAATCCTCCACACTGCCACTATTACACCACCCAAAACTCTACCACTAACACCATCACTGCTACCACTCCCACCAACAATGACTATCTGCATCACTACTCCCCCTAGGAACAACCCCACTTCTAGAGTGAGGACCCAGAATACCCAGAATATCAACAAGAGAACTAATGGGATCATTTCGGGAATAAATCAGAGCAGTGAAGACATTACACGGAAGAGACGAGCCCAACCCTGTCCAAAGTCACACAGTGGCTACTTAATGGCAGCCCTAGCTTGGAACCTGAGCTGCCTGACTCCAGGGGCTAGCATCTGGACACCCACACTGTTCTTCTCAAAGGACCTTATCTGGCACTTCCAACATGGCTCTTTTGGGGTAAGTAAAGTTAATTATTTACAAGAGAAGAAAAGAAGAATGTAGTTAAAAGTTTCTTTTGGGGCCAGCAGGTGGCATGCTGGTTTAAGGCGCTGGATTCCCACATGGTCAACCACAGTTTGAGTTCCAGACATGGAGGCCTGCTGCTTTCTCACTTCCCCTTTCTCTCTCTCTCTCTCTCTCTCTTAATCAAAAAAATAATAATAACAAATAAAATAAAATAAATAAATGAATAATTCCTTTTAATAAAAGTTTCTTTTAAAAAAATAAAAATAAAGAAAATTTTTATCAAATAATAGCCTGATGAATGAAAATCTTATCTACATATTTGCTTAAGATCTAAACTTCCTGGGGCTGGCAGATGATATAGTGGTTGTGGCGCTGGACTCCCATGTGACCTGTCATGGTTTGAATCACAGACCTAGGGGCTTGCTTTCCCATTTTCCCTCTCTCTCTCTCTCTCTCTCTCTCTCTGGTCAAATTAAAAAATAATAATGATAATGAATAAAATTAAATAAATTCTTTTGAAAAAATATACACTTCCTTGTGATATAGTCCTGGAGGTAGGTTTCTGGTTCAAAGGTTATACAAAAATCATCCTCCTCCAAAAAAGATTCTTCAAAATACAGATTCTTGTTCTAACTGTTAGATTATTTTCTGAAACAGTCATGTCCCTGCAAACTTCTGCCTGCACTTCTGACAGCCCTGAGTATTCATCACTGATAGAAGACTTTGACAACTGAGTAGGAGAAAACGGTATCTTGCTGTTGCCTTCATTTGCATTTCTTTGATTATTAATAGAATTCTAAAAAATCCTTATTTTAACTAATTTCTCTCTGACTTTAGTAGCGAATCTGTAGGCTTGGGGAATAGAGCATAAATAAAGAGGGTAAGCACCATATACTTCTGACTTAATTCCTATATTATTAAAATGAACTCTGCACAACATATCAGGAAATGGATTTTGGTATAATACACAGAGAAGGATGTGCTGCTTTTCTGAATCTGAGAACCGAAACCCCAAAGAAAACTGTGTCCAAAGAGCAGGTACTGACCTACAGGGTCAACTGCCGGCCCTGTGAAGTGGCTTTTCTCCAGCTCATCAGAGTTCTCATCCTAATTCTTTAAAGCACTGAAAAGTTTTAAGAAGAACAAAGCATGGAACATTTCTCCAGCATTTTCTATGGCTAATTTAAGTCCTCGTAACACAGTAATACTTTTCACTTGAATAGCCTCTGATATTCATTTTGAAAACAGCAGTAGCCACCTTGAGACATATTTATTGTGAGTTTTCAGCACTCCACCAGTGGGGGTACAAAGAAAAATTCTAAAATAACTATTTATAAAGCATAAATGAATTTAATTAGACTGCTAAAAGTGAAAAAAAAATACTAAATTATAAACCATCATGGACATGATTAATTGCATTTAAATTTTGCAGAAAGCACAGAAATGAAACCACCCCATAGCTTTTTCCCTCCCCGATTCAGAGATGTATATTGTGCCCAGCAGGACAGCTCCTGGGGGGACAACAGCTAGACCCAGTGTGTGCAATCAAGGCGGTGAGAATATGGACAGAAAGGGTCCCCGCCTGCCTCTGGAGCCTTGTGACCACTGAGCCACCCCTCCTTCCTCAGGCCTTCCCCTGAAATCTCTCATGTTGTCTTTTCTTCATTTGGATTCCAAGCCTTCCCCCTGCCAGGCCCAGCCTTTCCTTGTCCCGTCATTCCCCACACCAGTCCCTTGGACCCAGGACCCACCACTGGTTTTGCTCTCTCCTGCCCTGCTGTCCTTCTAGTAGGTGCTCAGTAAATAAATGCAAAATGAGTGAGTTAGCACTGGCCCACTGAGCCGTCCCACAGAGAGACTCAGAGTGACAGACAGGTCTAGGCGTCCATGACACATGAAGTGGAATCAGCAGATGTTCAAACAACATGCAGAAAGCATAGTCTAATTTTATAATTTTATGAAAGGCAGGTAGATGAAAAGGAAAGAATCCTAGAAGGACAACCTCACAGGTCAACCTTATAAGGTGGGAAGCAGGACGGGGATATAGACAAGACCCTGAGAAGGAAGGGCTTCCTCCTCCCAAGCTTCTTCAAGTAAGGGCAAAAGGAAACGCTTTGCTGGGAGCTCCTGGAAGCCTCCTCCTGACCTGGCCCCGTGGACAGCCGTGGCTGAAGGTGAGCCGGGAAAGTGAGGACCTTGCGGCGTCTATCACAGCAGGTTGGCAAGGAAGGGAGCTGGGAGTAGTCCACAGTGCGTGCCCACAAGTTCTGGGTCATTCATTCCATGGGCATCTGCTGAGAAGCTGCTGTGTGCCAGGCTCCGTTCCAGGTAACGGGCTAAGACTAAGACCAAAGTCTGGCTCTTATGGAGGTACATCCTGCTAGAGGGAGCCAGGCCACGAATTACAGTAAAATAGTAAGTCCCCCTGTATGTTCGGGGCCATGAGGGCCACAGGTGAAAGAAAAAGGGGAACTGAGGGGGCCATCCAGTAACATGACGGTAAGAGCAGCTGGATCCCATATGGCTAACTGCACAGCTCAAGTCCCAGACCCAGTGACTTGAAAATCATGCCAGGCACATGTGTACGTGCCCAAAATCCCAAGAGGAGAATGAAGGAAAAGGATTGTGAGGTGGCCATCCCTCTAGGGGCAGTGATTTCTCACTTCCCCACCCATCTCTTTCTGTTGAATGTGTGCAACCAATGGCAAAATTTTAAAAAGAAAAAAAGAAAAAGAAAAGGGAGAGTGGTTAGTTAAAGAGCGCCCGGTGGGGCTGGGACTGTGACTCTAACTAGAGTGGGCGGGGAAGCATCCTGGCAAGGTGACTCAGACAGAAAGGAGCTCCTCCACAGGGAACAGTCAAGGCAAAGGCCCTGAGGCAGGAAGGTGCGTGGTGACGCATCAGTGGCACAGGCGGGACGCCAGCATGGCTGGCATAAACGTGGTCCAGTCAGGGGAGGTGAAGGCCAGGTGAGCTGGGGCCTTGCAACACACAGGATGAGGATCTCACTCGCCCTGAAGGAATCGAGGGAACACTGGAGGGTTCAGAGCAAAGGAGTAACAGACTTTAAATTGCTTTTTTGTTTGTTTGTGTGTTTGTTTGTTTTTTTGAAGAGGTTTTTGCTATTGGGTGTGTGCTCTCACCAGAAAGAGAGACAGAAAGACAGAAAGTGAGAAATCACCACCCAGGGGGGATGGCCACGCAGCAATCCCTTCTCCTCCATTCTCTTCTCAGGATCTTG